TTTTGGGGAAGAAAAAAATGCGTCTTATATGCCGAAAAATACGGTAGTACATCCGTATACTCCTATTTCTTTCAAGTAAGTTTCTGGCCCTTCTGGCTACACAAGTGGGTTTGAAAATATTTAAACAGTGCCTGACAGCAGCTGAGAAACTGGTAAATTGGATCATGTGTGAGAAAAAGGGAAAGAGAAAGTGTTGATGAGTAGTGAGGACCAAGAACTCATTGCTGTTGGTCCCTTCAAGTTGTTTCTGACTTGGTAACCCTATCACAGGGTTTTCTTGGCAAGATTGGGGAGGGAGGGTTGCCTTTACCCTCCTCTGAAGCTGAGAGAGTGTGATTTGCCCAAAGTCACCCATTGGGTTTCCATGGCAAAGTAGGGATTTGAACCCTGGTCTCCAAAGTTGTAGTCCAGAACCCAAACCACTACACTAATTTGATTAGTGAAAATGATTAGTGAAAAGAACGCACTAAGTGAATATAGGTTTATATCCTGTTATTAGTCCTGGTCAGAGTAAACTGGACGAATCAGTGGGATTTACATGTGTATATATACTATGGTGTGTTATTAGTGTAGTTGTGCAGGTCACAGAATTTCAGATTTTCTTGGTGCAAAATTCATAGAAGTAGATTAGTCTGTAAAGGACAGAATATGTGGCCATGCTTAATTTTATTCCCCCTCTTTAGTGAATCTGGGACTTGTAGTCTTTGTTTCCATAAAATGCTCTGCCATGTTGGCAGTTTGCAGTTAGTTACTTAACTACCTGTGATGACTATTAGCCAGCAGTTGCTTAAACCCTCTTCCTTTCCTGTTCTTAGGCTGGGAAGGTTTTCATTACATGAGAGCCAGCATGGTGTAGTGGCTTGAGCTTTGGACTACAGCTGTGGAGACCAGGGTTTGAATCCCAACTCCGCCTTGAAAACCCACTGAGTGACCTTGGGCAAGTCACATTCTCTCAGCTTCAGGGAGGCAAAGGCAAAGCACATATGAACAACTCTTGCTGGAAAAAGGTTTGACTTAGGGGTCACCATAATTTGGAAATAACTTGAAAGCACACAGCAGTAAGCGCTGGGAGTCATGTAGCTCCCCAGATATTGATGAACTAGTACCCCCATCAGCCCTAGCCAACATAGTTGAGGGTGAGGAGTGCTGGGAGTTTCAGTTCAACAACATCTGGAGGGCCACAATTCCAAGCCCTGGTTGAGTGCCTCCAAGCAATTTCTCACCTGTAAATGGTAATAGTGAGTAACAAATATTGAGTAACTAGTAATAATGAGTAACACACATGTTCCTGTGTTAATAGTGAACTGGGTGAGGGATAGATGAGGGCTGTGTGTGCTGGCAGTGAGTAGTCTGTGTGACAAAGGGTGACTTTTCTGTATGTAGTTATACTCCACTTTTTAAGGATAAAGTTGGCTTTGTGTGGGAGTGTCGCTACATCCAGTCTTTTACACATTCAAGTGGCATCTTCAGTAGGAGGGCTGTCCCCCAGTTTAAGAGAAGGTGCAATTTGTAGCTTCTCATGGACAAACTTAGTAGTGACAAAGTTTGAGGACTACAATACACACTGTATTGTGTGTCTTCTTAGATTGTTAAGCAACATGGATCACGGAGAAACTTGTCCTTCAATTTTTAAAACAGCTCCATTGCCTGCCTCTGCATTTCCAGGCTTAATTCAGAAGTGTTTATGGGTATCCTGTAAGACCCTGCTCCCAAACTATGTGTAAGGTATCTCTAGGGCGGTCTCTGTGTTCCTTGAAGTCATCTGAGAATTTTTGTTTTTTTTCCCAGCAGTCAAGTTGAAACAGATGATGGTTGATCTTTGGGCCTTTTCTGAAATGCCTTTCTCATCTCTCTAGGTGTGATAGCCATCCTCATAGGTGAAAATGGGATTTATTTTCATCTAGATTTTATCCAGACCTTTCCATTCAGATTAGACTACAGTATTTGCTTGCCAGTATTTTGCTTTTCTGTTTTATCACCGTTAGTTGCCTTGACCACCATTTGGATAGAAACAAAGAGTACAAATTTCTGAAATGAAATTAATCCCTTTTTTAAAATGTGCTACTTCTAGCATTGTTTGCCAGCTGGCTGCTTTATTTGTCTTCTTCGGTGTGTGTTTGTACTACTTTTTTTCTTGTATTTTAAAAAGATTAATGTATTTGCTGATATCCTTCTGTATAGCTACCATGGGAAATAATTTTATAGATAAGGCGGGGTAAAAATAAGTTTTAAGTAAACATAGAGAGAAAATAGTCAAGACAAAGAAATAACTAGCCTTTGGTGATAGTTGTGTGCCTTCAGGTTTTTTACAGCTTATGGTGACACTACAACTAAGGCCATGGAAACTTCGTGGGTGACTTTGGGCAAGTCACACACTCTCAGCCTCAGAGGAGGGCAAAGGCAATCCCCTTCTGAACAAATCTTGCCAAGAAAACCCCGTGATAAGGCCACCTTAGGGTCCCTGTAAATAGGAAATGACTTGAAGGCACATAACAACAACAATGCTACCCTATCGTGGGGTTTTCTTGGCAAAGTTGTTCAGAGTGGGTTTGCCATTGCCTTCCTCTGAGGCTGAGAGAGTGTGGCTTGCTCAAGCTCACTCAGTGGGTTTTTCTGGCCGAGTGGGGATTTGAACCCTGGTTTTCCAGAGTCCTAGTCCAGCACTCAGACCACTTACTCCATGTTGACTCTCTTGTCCTTCAAAGGTGGTTATAAATGGGAATGAGCAAACCACACATTTCAGATTGCTGTGAATCTGAAAGTGTTCCCGTATTGTTGTAGAGTTCAGTATAAAATGTGAAGATACATCAGGAATTCATCTGCTTTCTCTTGTGCTCCATCACTCAGCTTGGCCAGTGTTTAATCTCTCTGCTTATTTTATTAAGTTCTTAACATCCCATCCAGGCAACAGTTGAAAATATCTCAAGGCCAGCTGCAGAAATGGATGTGGACAAAAGCTAGGGAGAGGTGGATGTGACCCTGCTGATTTAATAAGAGTCATAATGTGCGGGACACTTAATGGGGGGGGAAGAGCCTGTACGACTCCTGTGTAAGGTTTAGGACTGTCTGTAGGCTTCTCTGTTCTGAAAGTGCTGTGACTGCTGAAGAAGAAGTCTCTGTGTACTTTCTTTGCGCTAATTGCACCATGCATATCACATTTTCCTGGCTGCCTGAGTGCTAGAACAAGCACCCAAGTTTATCCTCTCGTTCTTGCCTCACCCCTTTTCTTCTCTCTCCCTTCTCTCCCCAGTGTGGTAATGTAGATTATAATCTCTGGGGCAAAAGCTTGTGTGTGTGTGTGTGTGTGTGTATAAACACGCATTGAGTTACGTTACTATAAAGCACCATCTGCGATGCTGATGCCATATAAACAGCAAGTTGGAGTCAAGGAGCCATTTTTCATGGCATTCTGTGTCAAAATTGTGTTATGGTGGTGCTAGTAGCATTTGACAATTTCAGGAATAATTTAAAGACCCTGGCATTGCATTTGCCTTGCAATTCCTTTTTGTCTTGCAATCCTTCAAAGCATTACTTTTTTAAAAAAAGAGGGTTCTATGTCCGAATCAGAATTTGGTATGGGTACTTTTCTAGGCTCTGGTCTAAACTATTGAGGTGGGAGGCTTGGTGTGTATGCCTGCTCATCTGAATAGCAAATTATAACAAGATAGTGGGATACTCAGGGTGGAATATATTACTGTGCTTCAAATCACAACTCCCATAGTTAAAAAATGAATGCATTAGAATGGTGAAAATGAGGTGGAAGCACAAAAGGCTGTAAGCAAAGAGAACAGTTTTACAACTTTACTGAGGAATGAGGATTTTGATTTGTACATAATGGGTGTTTGTGAAAAATGGCAATAGGAGAAAAGTACAGTTTAGGATTACAGCTTCCAGAATTAAGTTCTGATCTGCATTGCAGAAATAATGCAGTTTGGTACTGCTTTAACTGCCATGGCTCAATGCTGTTGAATTTTGGAATTTGTAATTTGTGAGACATTTGGCCTTCTCTGTCAGAGAGCTCTGGTGCTACAACAAACTGCAAATCCCAGGATTCCCAAGCATTGAACCATGGCAGTTAAAGTCGTGTCACACTCCATTAGTTCTGCAGTGTGGATTAGACCTAAGTAACTTTTCTAGGCTTTGAGGAATAAAGCCCTGAAGCCAAGCAGGAAATCTGTCAAAGCTTACACTTCAGTTTTGTTTTAATATATCTGGCCAGAGAGGGTAGGGTTTGGTTGGGGCGACTGTGTTAGTGTTCATTCAAGATGGCTCTGCAGCTATTTAATTATATCACTTTCAGTCTCCTTCTTTCTGACACATTATTGCACCCCTTTCAGCTTGTGGAGGATGTAGATTTGCAGCTTGTTTTCCACTATGGGGCAAATAAATAAAGATGGACGTGGATTATGGGAAAGGCTAAGCTCTCCCTTGCCCATTTGTTGTTGTTGTTGTTGGCCCCCTCTCAAGTTGATCTCAACTCATGGCGACTCTATGGATGAGACATCTCCAAGACTCCCTGTCCTCCACTTCTCTGCTTAGTTGCTGCAAACTCATACCCATGATATCCTTAATAGAGTCCATCCATCTAGCATGCAGCCTTCCTCTCTTTCTACTTCCCTCCACCTTTGCTAGCATTATTTTTTCTTCTCTTCTCATGATGCGACCAAAGTACAAAAGCCTCAATTTAATAATTTTGGCTTCCAGGGAGATTTCTGGCTAGACCTTCTCTAGGACCCATTTGTCTGTCTTTTTGGCTGTCCATGAAATCCTTAGCATTCTTCTCAAATGAATTGATTTTCTTCCTCCGCTTTCTTAACTCTTGCATCCATACGTGGTAACAGGGAATACAATGGCTTGTACAATTATAACTTTTGTGGTCAATTGTATATCGTTGCTCTTTAGGCTCTTTGCTAGTTCTTCCATAGCTGCCCTCCCCATTATTAGTCCTCTTCTGATTTCTTGACTGCAATCCCTGTTCTTGATCCCAGGTATGAGAACTCTTGATATTTTTATTTTCTCATTGTCTAGGTTGAATTTGTATAGATTCTCCATTGTCATTATTTTTGTTTTCTTTATGTTCAACAGTAAGCCTCCCTTTTCACTTTATTCCTTGATATTCCTTAGTAGTTGTCCTAGGTCTGTTGAGATTTTCTGCTAGTACTATGGTGTCATCTGCATACACTAGATTGTTGTTATCCCTTCCTTCTATATTCACTCCTCCTCCTTCTGTGTCCAAGCCTGCTTTTCATATAATATGTTCTCCATATAAGTTGAACAGAGGGTGAAAGGATGAAGTCTTACCTAACCCTTTTGCCAGTTGGAAACCATTCTGTTTCTCCATGTTCTGTTCTGATAGTAGTGTCTTGTTCTAAGTACAGATTCCTCATAAGGACTATCAAATGTGATGGTACCCCCATGTCTTTAGGGGTGTTCCATA